TCCATGTGCCTTTTCTCCTAGCATGCTTTCTGCTTAGATACACATAAGTCTTAGCTTTGTAAACTGTGATTTCACTCCAATCTATATATCCTTGTGTAAATGCCCAAGTGAATGTTTCACAAAAGAGGGTTTTGGTCTATTTCAGAAGCTGTATCACATTCCCTAATAAAAGTCAAAGACAATATTAACAAAAAAGTAATATGTACAAGTTCTTGGTGACCTATGGAGTAAGCTAATTTAATCTGCAGATACGTCAAACAATAAAGAAAAGGACATGGGAATGTTTTAAAAGATTCTCCTAGAGACATTCCCACCCAGACACACACTCATTCATATTCCCAAGCTAGAGGAGAAGGGAGGTAGGCAAAGAGACCAATAAAACAAAACAGCAGCTTCACTTGACAATCAGGGTATGATAGGTATTGCAAAAGCATCAGCCAGCTCCCAGTTAAAATGTCAGGAATATAAAGCATTTAACAAGCACCATAACGCAGAGATGAATGGGAGGAAAGTGAGGGTAAACTATCGCAGAACAAATAACCTTCAACAATCTTAAAAAAAAAAAAACCTCTCAAACTAACAAAAATGTATTAGCTTTCAGGTATATACCAAGGACAATGCTGGTCAGTTTCTTAAATAATAGTGAAGAATGCTTGCATGAAAAAGATGGAAGATGCCCACATTCTAAAAGCATTGCAGAAACAACTGGTCTAAGTATATGTAAAAAAGAAGCAGGCAGATCGAGTAATACAGGTACTGGGCTGTGTGTGTTCTGCATGGGGTTGGCTGGCTGCAGTCTCTTAGTTCTTTGGACATAAATCTTCCAAGCATGAAAGCAATGCCCTTCTGAGGACAGTTTCCCTTAACCTCAGAACAAGCACAGTTGTAACTAGGGGGAGGAAGCAAGGCTTAAGCCCCCCAACACTGAGCTGCCATCATGGCACACTTGCCGTATGTTGGGGACCCAATGTCTTAGTCTGCCTCTGCCTCCTCCTGGCTAGGGCTATCCAGGGGTCTTTTCGTAGAAAAAGAGCTGCAGGAGCTCATTAGCATATGGTATGCTAATTAGCTACTCGGCTATTAGCATATGCCACGATCCCTGACATCACAGGAAGTGATGTCAGAAGGGGAAGCAAAAGGGGGGGAGGCATCTTCAAAAGCCTCCCCTTCGCTTCCCCAGCTGGCCTGCGGGGGGGGGGAGCGAAGAGAGAGTTGGGCCACAGAAGGAGGAAAGAGGGAAGGAAAGAGAGGGAGTAGAGAGAAGGAAAGAAGAAAGGAAAGAGGGAAAGAAAGAGAAGGAAAGAAGGAAGGAAAGAGGGGATAAAAGAGAGAAGGAAAGAGGGAAAGAAAGAGAAGGAAAGAAGGAGGG